ACTGCCGACAGGTGTCCGGCTGCTCCCCCTGAAACACCAGGAGGCCCCATGTCACAGGTCCCAGCAGAACTGGGTTGCAAGCCCAGACCCTCCTCCTACTCCCATCCCGCGTGGGCCTCAGCTGGCCCTAGGCCGCCTGGATCGGGTGTCTGGAGGCCTGTGGGCATCCCGGGGCCCAGAGACGGGTGTCTACCAGCCCGGGGAGGTGGCAGGGTCTGCACCCCGTCCAGCAGCTTGGAGGCGTGGGTGGGAAGGGGCTGGCACAGGCCCAAGATGACACTGGTCAGCTGGGCTGGGGGTGGCTGTGGAAACAAGACCGAAGCGGCACGCTGTCCCCATGGCCAGAGCTGGGCTCAGCAGCAGGGTGGGGACACGCACACGCAGCTCCCCAGCCCTGTGAGGGCCAGGCTCCTTGAGCATTCCCGGGGAGAAAGTGTGATGTGCCGTGGATACAGGGGACCCCATTCTGGGGACGTCACCATGAAGCACCCTGTCCCTGGGACAAGCTCGCTAAACAAGGGAGCAAATACATTCATGGTTTAGCTCAGCCAGAGACCCGCGGTGCAGCGGAGAAGGAAGACAGGAGCCCTCCTCGCCGGTGTTCGGGTGTGGGAAGCACGCGCGAGGGGCCTAGCGCAAAAACGTCCTTGCAGACACAGCAGAGAAACAAAGGAGGCAGGGAGTGGCCTGGCCTGGATCTGAGGACTCCAGGCCAGAGCTGGCCTGGCAGGGACCCGGTGGACACCAGGGGCTCCCGGTCAGGCCAGGAGACCTGCCGTTCATCTGCAATTCCCCCTCTGTCCATGTGGGGGCAGCTGGGGACCGGAAGCAGGTAGCCTCACACCTGGCGGGTGGCAGGCAGGTGAGCCAGGTGAGGTGGCTCTCCTAGTCTGCAGACAATACAAAGAAAAGGGGCCCCTCCCAGGCCAGCCCAAGGCCCTGCCCCAGGCATGTGACACCCCCCTCCCCGCAGCCTGCCCACCCAGCCCCCTTCCCATGTAAGATACGCCACTGGGGGAAGGGGAGGTGAGTGCGCCTGTTGGGCAGCAAGCCTGGGCAGGCCCCCGCCCCCACCTGTGTTCCTGGCTCCTGGGGATGTCCTGAGTCGCTGGGCCACCCCGCCCAACAGCCGGCTTTCTCCTTGGCTCCACAGTGTCTCCCCCAGTCCCACTGACGGAGCAAAGCGCAAGCCACTTGGGTTTGAACTGACTTTATTATTCTGTAAATGTGAATTTTACAAAGCGTTTTACAAGTAACGATCACATCCTTCTGTTTGCAAGGACTTCCACGTCCTGCTCGGGCTCCACTCGCCGCGCAAGCCCTGGGTTTCCCGGCCGGTGGACGTCTCCGCAGGCTGTGACTAGTACGGCAGCAAACGTGACAGTGTTGACTCTGCTGAGAGGCAGGGCCCAGAGTCCGGCAGGAGGGAGGACGCACCTGCGGGAAGGGGGGGGACGAGCTTGCTCGCTGGGGGGGGGAGCCGCGGACAGGGGCGAGGGGTGGTTCTAGGAAAACAAACCTGCTCCACGGCACAAGGAACAGTGATTTCATTTATTTATTGTTTAACAGTCGTGAGTTACAGCAGGACTTAACCCCTCCCAGACTGGACAGGAACCGTGTCTTTGTAAAAAGGCTCTTTTTCCCAAACGCTCCGTCCGGAGGATGAACGGTCTGTTTGCACCCAGTGCCATCCAATGTTCAAGTCAAAAATATTTATACATTTTATACTTAGTTCTTTTTTTTTGTCTGCTAAAAATAGTATTGCAAGTTTTGGCTTCTTTTGACATAAAAATTACAATCATGTGCAAAACGCTAACAACGAAGGAGTTGATCGGAATTCAAGCAGGTTGTCCAATCCGAATGCTTTAGATTCTGCGTCATTTTCCTTTGCATGTTTTTTTTTTCCAAAGAAACAAAACAAACAAACAAACAAAACCCAAAACCTTTTGGCGCGTTAGAAACGTCTTGTACCAAAGCCCTAACGCTCTCCGGCGGGCGGCAGGTGACGCACTCGGAGTGGCCTGGCTGACAGAAGGACAAACTTACGCACCAGCAACATTCTGAAACAGCAGCTCCAGACTCCCAGCTCTGTGTGTAGGATTTACTGCTGGCAAAGGCAAACAGAGGTTTTCTCACAGTTTTCAGGCGGTTAATGGGCCATCGGCCTTCCACTGGCATCAAGATACTTCCATAAAAATAACCCGAGATGGGGAGCTAAGCAGTAAGTGGCCGGGGGTGGCATAGGGCTGGTACTAGAACCTTCCGCCCTTCAAGGGGAAGTCAGGGCCAGGCACCCCAGAGTCCCCGTCCTCCCCCAGCCCTCACCCCCTGCCCCCCTCCCAGCTCCAAACACAACCGCCCCAGAACCAGACGCCACGGACTAGACCACAGCCGGCGGGCTCCCAAGACCGTCTCTCCCCATGGCCACACACCCACAGCCACGGCCACAGACGGGGGGCAAGGCAAGACGCGTGAATCCAACGCGAAGTCAAGCGACCACAGAGAACTCTGGGTGACAGCAGACACGGCACAGAACACAAGACAGAATTCAAGCACCGAGGCGCGCCAGCTGGACGGCCCCGCCAGCTCACGGTATCCCGTCCCATCTCCCCATCCCCGCTTCTGGACCTTTTGCACTCCATCCCACTGCCTCCTCCGGCACAGCCCGTCCGCCGGGAAGGGTGGGCGAGGGTGGGGACCCGGCTGGCCGCCTGCCATGTCCACCCCGACAGGGTCCAGTCCCTTCTCTCCTCCTCAGAAAGGCGCGGGTCTAACTCAGCTCTGTGTTAGTCTACGTAGTGTATGTGTATTGCTAATAGTCAAGCTGGGGGTCAGGTGCAGACGCGTCATAAATACTGAGTGGCTTGTCTCTCGCTCTACAGGGTCTGGGTGAGTCGGGATCACGATCACAGGACAGGCATTAGTCATTTTGTAAACAGAGGAGGGGGAGGGTCCGGTTTTAACTGGTTTTCCTTGGGAAAAATGATCAGAAGATGCTAAGGCACTCTGGTCGGCCCCTCCGAGTCCAGGCCCACCGCCGCCCGCCCCGCGGAACATTCTGGACGCGGAGGGAGCGCCCCGGCAGATACAATCATCAGCCACGCCCGTCCGCAAACGCTCTGGACCCACGTCCGCCGCGGGACACATTAGTGCAAAACGCTCGGCCTGGCCCGCCTGGGGCTCAGGGGGAGCGCAGGACCCATTCACATTGACGTACTGAAGTTTCACACATGACTCCTGCCTTCCCTACCTGGAACAACAAAACGGACGGCGGCTACACACGATTAAGGGACAGAGGTCGTAGGACATTGTGCTGGCCTGAACAGCGGTCAGGCCTTCTCTGTGCGGGCGCTGCCGCCGTCACCGGGCCACGGGCACCCCTTCGTGTCCCGGCCGCAGGTCGGGGGCCGCTCCCACTCTGGAGTAGGGGGTGGACAGGGAGAGCGAGCACTCGAGCCCTTCTGCTGACCGCCAGGACAGGCCAGCCGCCTATCTCCCCAGGGTCCTCAGGGATGGTCAAATTAAAGTGCACATCAGGGTTGGGAAGGGAAGCTGCAGAGGGGGATGGGGGCCAAGCCTCCCCATCCTCCCCTCCACACCCCCAGTGGCCGCCTGAGGATGCTGAGGGCTGGGCCTCTCAGTTCCAGGAGGGCTAGGTCCTGAGTGGCCTTGGGGCCCCAGGCCCATGCAGCTCCAACCCCAGCTGGGTCCAGGTCAAGGGAGAAAGAGGTGGAAACAGTGTGGCTCACCTCTGGGCCAGGAGGCTGGCTCGGATCCCCAGTAGGAGTGCGGCCCCTTCGGGCCCAGAACCCCCACCACTGCTGCTCTCGGGCACAGGGGCTGAGACAAGCTCCCACGGGCCTGCCCGAGGTGCCCCCACTCCCTCCCGGGAGCCCTCAGATCTTTCTGGAGGTCAGGCCCATGTGTGGCCTGGCTGGAGGAGGCCTGGAGGCTCCACGCCCAGCCTGGGTCTCCCGGAAGCCTCTCCACGCAGGGCCGCGGTCAGAGGGCACCTGAGCACATGGGGGCCGCAGCCCTGCAGGGCAGGCCCGCAGCTGGGGAAGGTTCAGGTTTGTGGGTCACAGGGAGGCTGAGCACAGGGGCTGCCGCCTGCTCTGTACCTGGTCAGGGGAGGCAGCGTGACAGCGGGGGCGGGGGGGGGGGGCAAGAGACCCCTTCATCTGGGAATGGAAGGGCATCTGGTTTCACGGGCGGTTGGCAGGGGTGGGGGGTGGGGGGGCGCCTGGGACTCAGGAGGAAGCCTCCCGACCACTGGCCACGTGCGCACAACCTGCGCCCTTGCTTACCAAAGACCGGCAACCGAACTTGGAAGTGAGCCTTCCAGCCTCACCCACCCACGTCTGGTCTCAGGCCCCTCCTCACTGCGCTCCCCCCACCCCGCGCTCTGGATCGTCAGCCCTGCTGCTGCAGGGCTCCTCCCGCCTGCCCGGGGCCCAGGGTCTGCAGCAGGACTCGGACCCGCTCAGGCCCAGCCCAGCCACGAGGGGCCTCCACACCCTCCTCCGTCACACACCCCGACTGCATCTCCCTGGGACCCGGGCCAGGGCAGGGCAGAGTGCGGTCCACAGGTGACCCAGACCCAGGCATAGAGGGTTGAGGGCAAGGACACCAAATCCTCCCTAATTTTTTGCTCTTTTGGGTCTGAAAGTTTTCAAACCATTCATGAACTAGATCTGAATTAAGACAAAAACAAACAAACAAACAAATGTAATCCCAACATGGCCGAGGGCGGCGGGGCTGCACCACAGGACGGCGGGCAGCCGGGCAGAGCCGGCGGGCACTCGGGGCAGCGGCCTCGCCCATGGGGCCCAGGGGCACCAGAGGCTGTGGAGCTGAGGGGGCCGGGAGGGCCCCCGGGCGCAGGCGGGAGGATGGAGATGCACGGAGCTCTCCCTCCCCCTGCTGTGCTCACACCGCTGCCCCCCGCACACGCTCAAACACACGCGCACTCACACACGCGCTCATGCGCCCCATGCATGCGGCCGGCCCGGCAGGCCTGACCCGCGAGTCTCAGGAATAAGGGAAAAGGAGGAGTTTGGCCCCTGAGGGCCCAGCCCTGGCCCCTGGCCCCAAAGGGTGGGTGGGGTCCCCCGAGTGAGCAGCGAGGGTCGGGAGATGGGCCCCAGGCCACAGGACCCCCGATCCGGCTCCCAGGCACTGGGGACCGCAGGCTCTCGCCCCTCCCGGAGCGGGGTCAGAGGCCCACAGCCTGGAGACGAACCTCGCAGGTATCAAAGGAGCCCTGGGACCTTCCTCGCAACTAGGTCACCAGCGGACTAACCCTTTACAGTATAACGAATGCATTTGTTTCCTTCATAAACTTTAAATACAAGCAGGATAAAAATCACATTTTTTTCAGGCAACAGTAGCAGTTCCGTAGTAAGTGGCTTGATCACATCTGTTTGTATTAGTAACGCATGCAAGCAGCTTTAGTACCGGCCGCGAGCCTCCCGGCGGCCCCTCTACAAGGTCCCCGCGTAGGACGCCTCCGGTCTCCGAGGCGCTGCGGGCGTCTGTGGCCGGCTGGAGCTCGCGCCCGCCTGCTCGAAGGGCTGCGGGGGGCTCGGGGCCGCGGCGGGCGGCGGCTCAGGCGCGGCCACCTCCTGGATGACCGAGCCAGCCCCGTCCACCTCCTCGGCCACGTCGAAGCCCGGGTGGGCGGCGGCGCTCAGGTCGACGTTCACGGCGTCAGTCCTCAGAGCCACGATGGTGGCCGCGTCCCCCCGCCGCTCCGCGTAGATGCGCTGCTCGAACACCTGCGCTGCGGCGGGCGGGAAGTCGGGGTCGAGGGGCACACCGGCCGCCGAGGAGCCCATGACCGTGCGGTACATCTCCACGCCCTCGGGCAGCATTGACTTGATCTTGGGCAGCCAGCGCTTGCGGACACGGCGGGCGTTGGTGCACATGTCCGCAGCGATGACATTCATCTCGCTCTCCTTGAAGCTGGGGGCGAAGCTCTGGCAGTACACTGCAAACACGGGGCGGGGAGGGGCGGTGTCAGCGACCCGGGGACCAGGGCGCTCGTGTGCTGCAGCCGTCCTCCTGGGCCAGCGGGGAAGGGGGCCTCCACCCTGCGGGCCGCTGGCTCTGGGGTCCATCCTGGCCTCAGCTGGCAGACCAGTGGTCACCCTTCTCACCACTCCATCCTGGAGGCCCTGCCCTGTTCCCTCAGGCCGGAAGGTCCAGGGGATGAGGGACAGTCAGCGTCAGAGCATGAGACCGTGGGCCCTCCCTGAGCACTGGTTGGCTGTGTGGCCTTGGGCAGGTCCCTCGCATCTCTGGGCCTCACCTTCCTGCTCTGTCCCACCCACCCTGGGTCCCAGGGCCTGCTGAGACAAGCCTGCTCAGTCACCTTGCTCTGGACAGAAGGGCAACCGGGCCAGGGCCCCAAGTCAGGTGGCCCTTGCACTTACCCACTGTGAGGCTCTGGCCTCTTGGGCCCTTACAGAGGCTCTTCCTCACAGGCTGGATGAGGAGTGTGGTGGGAGCCGGTCCACACCTGTCCTGCACCCAGCCCCCACCAGGAGGAAGCAGCGGCCAGGGCCATATCCGCACTCCAACCTTACTGAGAGTCCCCTGCCCCGGGAGCCCCAGGACCCAGCTCTGCAAGCAGCCTGGAGGCGGGACACAGGTCCCTGGGGCGAACCCCTCACGGCAGCATCGCCGCACACAGCCCATTCCCAGAGCCCAGGCAGCTGCCAGCTTTGGGACTGTCACGACCCATCACAAAGGGCCCTCCCTGCTCTAGAACAAAATCGGTCTCATGAGACACGTGTTCCAAGCAAGGAAGTGAGACAGCGTTTCGAGTGCTGACCGCTGCGGGAGGGCCCGCGGCTGGCCAGGGTGGCCCGAGCAGGGTGGCCGCGCTTCCCAGGGCTGGGGGAGCTGGGCCGGGGGCAGCAGTCAGCCGCGGAGACGGACCGGGCTCCACGACACCCCACCCCCGCGCCCAGGAGCGGGAGGCAGAAGCCGGCGAGCAGATGGCAAAGGCTCAAAATAACCTCGAAATGTAAATAAGGGGTTTTGTTCAAAAAGGAAAATTAGATCTATTTCACATATTAAAATAGTTCCGCACGCAGCTGAATCCATCACGCTTGGAAACCCACCAAGAACGTTAACACCTCGAGACCTGGCTCCCACGAGCTGCTCTTTTTTCTTCCCCCTCCACCCCCAAGCCCTACAGGGCCGGCACACCGCCCAGGAGAAGCCACCTCCCGCAGCCTTGGTCCCCAGCCCAGGGGACCGGCAGCACCCCCAGCCCCCCAGGGCACCCCGGGGCACTCACGTTTCACAGCGTTCAGAACCCGGCTGTCCAGAGGCTTGCGGCTGGGGTCGCTCGTGGAGGAGCGGATGCCTGTGCCGCAGCTGTTGGCCAGGGTGTTCCTGGTGGGGCAGGAAGGGAAGTGAGGCCGCCGGCCAGGGGGTCCTGCCCTCCGGGCCTCCCCCCTGCCCTGCTACTGACTTCCGGGGGTGGGGGTGACCCTAACCCCACCACTCTCCAAGAGACGGGAGGGAAGCAAAGCCCCTTGGGGATGGGGCTTCAAGAAGCACATGTGGCTCTTATTTTACGGGGAGGGGTGTCCAGGGCAGCCAGGCCCCCTCCGATGGATGTGTCCCCTTGCACATCCCCGATCCACAGTGGGACATCAGCACGGCGGGGGGCCGTGGACCCAAGCACGCAGTGAGCACGTTGCCAAGAGGCCCGTGCGGCCTCCACACCCGTCCAGGGACCCACCTGTCGAAGAAGGTGGCCAGCAGGCGCCGCAGCAGGACCTTGTGCTTCACGCCCGCACACAGGTGGCAGTTCATGAGCTGACCGCGCGTGATGTAGACCCCGGAGCCTATGACCGCCGGACAGAGAGGCTGTGACCCACGACCCGGGGCCATGAGCTTCCCAGGACCATGGGGGCCAGAGCAGGTGCACCCAGGCTGGGGGCTGCTGGGAAGCAGGGGGCAGCGCCAGGCCGCCACGACTTCAGCAGCAGCGCTCCCCCTGGGGCCTGGGACCCCACAGGCTGGGGACATCGCTTTAGGGGTCCCTCACTGTGCCGAGGCCCTGTCACCTGCAGGAGGTGCCCTCGGTCACATGCCTGAGCGCTGTCCCCAGGTCGCCCTTCAGGCCTTGAGGGCATCCCAGGCTCTGCCTCCTCGCCTCTCCATCCCTTCCCCAAAACCAAAGCCCCTCAGGCAGTGGGAGGAGGTGGGATCAGGGAGGTCAGCCGGCCCAGCACATGCGGGGGCGGGGGGTGGGGGTGGGGGTGTGTGTCTGCAGCCCGCCACGGGCAGGGGTGCGCTCAGCGAGCTGACGTGCTGCTGTTCATCTGAAGGAGCCTGGCAAGCCCCGGGCGCCCAGCAGGGCCCGGCAGTGGCAAGGCCAGGGCCCGCCGAGAGCGTGGGGCGGCCTCAGTCGGCCCAGACTCTGCTCGTGGGGAAAGGAGCGGATGCACGTGTCGCTCAGTGTCCCCGACTCTGGAGAAGACGACACCAAGGGCATGTGCGTGGGGTCCTCAGGACGCCCACCATCCCCGTCAGGCCTTCCCCGAGGACCCACCATCACAGATCCTGCACTGAACCGTGGGAGGGAAGTGGGCGGGGCAGGGTGGAAGGAAGGTACTCGGAGGTGCTCTAGCCCCGGGGGGCCCTGGATGGAGACCACCATCAGGGCGTTGGGTCTGTGCTGTCTGACCCAGTGTCTGTGAAGGCCCCTGTCAGGCCGTCTCTCGTCTGCAGAGGTTCAAGGCCGACAGCAGAGCAGGTCACCCGGGCCACACGGGCTGGGCACTCCCTTGTTGAAGGGACTCTGTAACAGGGGCTGGGGTACCGGGGGGCCCGCCCCACTGATGTCTAGCTATGGGTCGGGCCAGAGAAGGGGGCCAGCCCTCGTCCGTCCCAAACGCTGACAGACTGGTGTGCCCCACCCCTCTCTGCCCTGCTCTACTGCTGTCCCCTGGGACCATGGCTCCCAGCAGAGGGGACAGTCAGGCAGAGCCCCACAGTGCTGCCCTGGGTATGGCAGTCAGGAGGAGCAAAAAGGACTGGGGGAACCCAGAGGCTCCCAGTGGGTACACAACAGCACTGAGGAGGACGGATGGTGCCTGTGGGTCCTGGCTGGCCCGTCTGGGGCTCCCCCGGAACCACGGGAGGACACTCCCAGAAAATGGCTCCACCTCCCCCGGCACGGGTGACGATTCCCTGCGAACAGCCTTAGATCCGCCAGGAGCGGCGAGGCCCCACGCGGCCCCACGCGGGGAGGAGAGCTCCTGCTGACAAAGGCACCCGGCCCCAACGGGTGCCGTCTGTTTTCATCGAACTCCGTTTCTGACTCTGAGCTGCATCCGGTGGGGACATTTTGGGGGCTGGGGGGAGGGGACCAGCACGCGAACTCGATTTGGTTTTATCTGCTACCTAAATTAAAACACAATCGTGATTGCAGTCCCTGCCAATCAGACATGCGGCCGGCCCAGGGGATTCAATTAAAATGCTAAATTAATTCAATTGAATAACTCCTCTTAATGACACATTCTTCTAAAAGGAAATTAGAGGAAATTTAAGATGTTCTATCTTCTTCTTTTTGACTGATTGGTGATGAGTACATTGTTCACAGCTCTGAGGAGAAAGGAGGAGAGGGCATTTGCATACAACAGACAGGGCGGGGAGGGACCCTTCACCTGCCACCAGCTCCAGCTTCTCGCCGGGGTCCCCTTCCGAGTACAGCTTGGGGTGGCAGCGGTACCCGATCTGGCTGATGAGGCTGGCAGGTAGGGCCACAAGGTCACGGCGGATGAGGACGCAGGAGCGGCTCTCCAGGGGCACGGGCTCCGGCTTCTCTTGCACTGTGGACACAGACCCAATCTGGTTAGGGGCGCTCTCGGGCTGTGCCAGGACAGGGATGGAGCTGGAGAACGCCCTTCCCTCCCGCCCAGGCCCGGGTCAGACCCACTCCATGCCCACCCTCCGTTCTCTCTCCTGCCCACCTGGTCCTGACCCCGGCGGGCAGGACAAGAGGGAGTGAGCAAATGGAGGAAGGCAAGGGAGGGCTGCCCGCCCCCAGACCTGGAAACGAGCTGGGAGGGCCTAGGAGGCTCCCACGAGGTGTCCCCCGGGCAGAGGCCTGCAGATGAGGCAGGAACGAGTGGCCAGTGCGAGGGAGCCAGACCCGTGGTCTGACCAGGGAGAGCGGCCCCTCTGCAGGACAAAGTGCGGGCCGGGAGCAGCACTGGCCCCGTGCGCAGCCCCGATGGGGCGGGGGACAGGGAAGCACAAGGGCAGCAGGCTGTGGGCATGGAGGTGGCTGCCACCCGCCCCCGCCCCGGCCTGGTCTGGCTGTGGGAACCTGCTCTCCATCAGGCAGGCCCAGGGCAGGTGCACCCGGCCACCACTGAGGCTGGGCCAGCCTGTCCCCTCAGCTGTCCCCTCTGCACCGTGACCCACTCCCCCTTAGGGGTTACAGGAAGAATCAGCACCTGTGGGCACTGAGGGAGGGAGGGGCAGGCTGGGCCAAGCACCTGTGGAAGCCGTATGGGGGCTGCCGCAAAGGGGCTTTGGGAGGGAGGATGGCAAGGAAGGGTCCTGGGCAGACCCTCCCACTCCCAGGCCTCCAGACCTGGTGCAGCCTCAAGCTCCCAGAGGGGAGTGGTGAGGACCACTCAGCCACTGGGGGCTGGCATCCTGGACACTGCGAGAGAGGGCAGGCGGCTGAGACCAGAGCTGAGGGGCGCCTGCAGCTCCAGCCCATCCAGCCCGGACCTGGACACGGGTCAGAGGGTGCTGGGCCACTCTGGGGGCCGGGCGCACCTCCCAGCAGGTGTGTGTGGGGCACCAGGCGGGACGGAAGACTCTTCCAAACCCAGAGTGCCCGTGGGCCCAGGGAAAACAACCCGGATATTTTAAAACATAATTACCCGCCCCCGTCCCCCCACGGCCTGCTGTGACTACACACGCAGACGCAGCACAGCGCGGCCGGCCCGCGGCGTTTACACGTAATACGCTCACCAGCAGAAACCCCGCCGTCCACCGTGCGTCCTGCCGTGTCTCTCTGAACAGCAGAAGTTGTCTGCACCCGGCACGCCTGCCCCCCAGCCGCAGCCCCCAGCCCGGCTCCTGAGAGCAGAGAGCGGCATATCCAGAACATCCAAAAGAGCCTCTTCTATTTCTGCTCTGCCGAGCGCCGGATACCGCGCCGGCTAAAAATACCGAACCCGAGCGGTGGCTCATCTGGAGAGGTGCTCTGGAGTCCTTCCCTGCCCCTTCCCCGGGCCCCAGATCTCCCGCCGCAGCAGCCCACAGCTGAGCGGAGCGGAAAGGGCAGCGTGTGACCAGGTTCTGGCGGACCTCGGGGAACGTGCAGGGGTGGGGGGGACGGGGGTGCAGGGGACATGGGGGGGTGCAGGGGCACAGGGGCATGGAGGCGGGGGCTGTGGGGGCACAGGGGAGCAGGGGGGCCCCTAGGGCATCCCTGTGGCCTTCAGGCGGGCATTCCGGCAGGCGTGCTGGGAGGCCCCCTCGGTGGGCTGTGGGCAGGGACACAGCAGCCCACGGGCTGCCCTGCAGATCACGTTGAGGCACCCCACCCCCTTCCCCATCAATGGCCCCGTTTTTAACCGGCTTCAGGACTGAGGGCTCCAAATATTTTGGCCCCGTGGAATGTGGAGGGGCACATGAAAGAGCGATTCGCTATTTGTACAGAGAGGGAGTAATCGCTCAGTGCGGGAACTGAGTCACCGTCGACAGGGCCTGCACAGAAGGATCTAGAGCAGCAGCTGGTCTGGGCCAAAGGGGACAGCGACCAAGCACAGGCAAACAGTGCCCCTCAGACCACTGGACAGAGAGAGCTGTGACCAGACACAAGGATGGACCCTGCGGGGAACCCTGGGCACCGAGAAGGGCCCCAAGTGCTCCCAGACTCGGGGACGTGGCAGAGTCCAGCCGAGGAAGGACGGGGCCTCAAGGACATTGTGCTGAAGGAGAGGAGTCCAGCAGAGGACAGATCCTGCCAGACTCTGCTGCTGTGTGGGCCCGAGAGGGCTCAGGCCCATGGGGATGGACCACAGGAGGGGAGATCTGTGTGTAATGGGGCGGAATTCGGGTCAGGAAGATGGAGAGTCCTGGAGACGGATGAGGGGATGGCAGCAAAGCAGCATGAGCGCACCCGTGGGCCTTGAACAGCGCAGCGGACACCAGCGGGACGGGAAACCCCAGTGTGTATGTCCTGGTGCAGGAGAGCCACTCTCTTGAGAGACGAACAGTGACTGTGGGGACGTGGGCCCTCACCCCCCCAGTTCACACGGTGACGTCCGTCAGCTCAATCTCAGTACAACGGGGGTGGTGGGGCACCGACAGAGGGCAGAGTGGGCGAGGCAGGCCTGGAGGGACCCCGGCAGGCTCCCCAGCTTCCTTTCCGGCACTTCCTCCCCCTCCCGTGGCTCCCTGACTGGGAATCTAGAAAACGCGGTGGGCCCTCTCCCCAAGCAAAGCACACAGATCCCCCAGCCTGCGAGACACCGGTGCGTCACGGGGCCCCAGGGGCCGACTCTGTTCCTGTCCCCGGGTGCACCTCAGGGATGGCATGGGGAGCCCCCACCAGGGCCAGTGGCCACCTGCAGAGGATGGAGTGCCACTGAGGCTGGGTGGGCAGGTGGGGGGACAGGGAAGGGGACTGCCACCCTATGAGAGCATATGCTGTTTGTTGAAAGGGCAGAGGAAGGAAAGGGACCCCTGGTCCATGATTATATGGGAAAATACAACTTACAACCAAATGGAAAGAAAAACGCTAAATCACACCGTCTACCTCTCCCGACTGTGGTGACTGTGACCAAGCCTGCGAGGTTCATGAGGGCAAGCGAGGGACCCCCTGTCCACAGGCCTGAGTCAGACCTGCACAAACACACTCAGCTCACTTGTGACAAAGGGTCACTCACCACAGCAGGGGAAGGGACAGCTGCTCCGACACAGGGTGCCTGGAACGGGTTGTATGTGGGCAAATCGCAAAAGGAAACCACAGAACTACCCTCGATCTAAACCTCACACCTTACCCGAAAAAGAGTAAAAACGGGTCATGGACCTCATGTACGACACAAAAGCGTAAACCTTTTGGAAGAAAATCTCTGTGATCTTGAGTTCAGCTAAAAGCTCAGACACAACCCACAGAAGAATCGACGGGTTAAAACCGACCAGATGAGGACGAACACCTCCCGTGTGGGAACGACATACAGACAGACAAGCCCGCCCCCAGGCCAGAAGGAGCGTCCGCGGACCACACGCGGCCCAGGGCTTGCCCCGAAAATCCAGTGCGAACTCTCAAAACTCAACAGCAAGAAGACGGATGGTTTGGTTTTTAAAATGGGCAAAAGATCTGAACAGACACTCGGCCAGAAATGGTCCAGATGGCCAATTAGCACATGAAAAGATGCTCCACGTCATCAGCTGTTGGAAAGCAGCACATAAACCGCACGGAGAGACCCCACTCCACGCGTACGGAGCAGAGCAGCTCGCGAACCCCGGGCATGCCGGGCGGCGCGAGGGTGCGGAGCAGCTGGGCACGGGGCCCCAGCCGGCGGGCGCGCACGCGGGGACACAGGTGCACAGCTTCCCAGGAGCCGACGGTCCCACCCGAGGCACTCGCCTGGGAGAAACGAGACACGGACACAGTCTGCACGGGCCCCCAGCAAGGGGGCTCACCCCGCTCCGCTCACCAGCGCGCCAGGCCGGAGACAGCCCAGGCCCCATGGCAGCAGGCGGACACGGCCGAGCGCCCGCAGAGCAGGTCATCGCCACACGGACGTCGGGAAGACCGCGGCACTGCGCAGGGGAGCCTCAAACTCGCCGGTGGGACAGAAGGGGCCAGTCTCCCATGGTCACACACCTGGTGTGTGGGACAGGGTCCCAAACGCAGGACTCTGGGGAGAGAGAACTGGCCGGTGACTGCAGGGGACAGCGCGGGGCCGGGCCCGACGGCAGCCGCGTGGAGGCCGACGGAGCTGCTCTGCAGAGTGAACACGCGCCGCACCGCCCCGCCCTGTCCCTGCTCAGCCCCAGGCGGCCTCCCCGCTCTGCACCAACAGCTCTGAAAGGGGCACCCCAAGACCGGCAGCAGTGCCCCAGGACATGACCATGTCAGCACCCCGGGAACAGGGCTGGCGGCGGTTCCCCAAGGTGCACCTGGGCCTGAAGGGCTGGGGGTCATCACGGACGGTGCTCCTCCACGTGGAGAAGCCACGGCCCCCACCGACGGCAAGATCACCCCCTCTTGTGGATGTTCGAGGGCAAGGACACAGGGCATCTCAGAACCAGCAGTCACAACACGCTGGGCACAAATAAGTCTGGCTGGGAAGGCCCAGAAGAAATAAACACAAGTGGGAGAGGTGAGGCCGGGAGTGGGGACGACGCGTGTGCAGACACCGCTGCCCAGGGCCCCCGGGAACACAGACAGAGAGGGACGTGGCAGGCCTCTGGGTCCCCATGCTCGGGAAGGCATAGACACAGACAGCCACAGGGGAGGAGGCAGCACTGAGATGGCTCCGTCCAGACAGCATCAGGTGCAGCCCCAAGCCATGTCCTCCCGCTGCAGCCCCCGCCCCTCTGGTTCCAGCTCGAACACCCAAAATGTCCTCTGGGCAGCCCCGTCCGACTCAAACCTGCCGCAGCCACTGCCTGGGCCTAGACTCCACAAGCTCTGCTAGTCTTGTGGCCAGCACCCAGGTCTGGCCCTGGGAGACCCCATGAAGCCCCTGAATGGAGTCCCAGCAAAGCCAGGGGGCCTCTGTCACTGCCCATCTGACCAAACTCCTCCTGCCCGCCACGCCTGTCTGCTCCCAGGGCTCGTCCAGCGCCGGCC